GGCGGTGGTGTGTGTGGTGTGTTGTGTGTGTTGTGCGTGTTGTGGTGGTGTGGTGTGGGGGTGTGGTGTGTGTTGTGTGTTGTGTGTTGTGTGTTGTGTGTGTGTGTTGTGTGTGTGTGTGTGTGTGTGTGTGTGTGTGTGTGTGGTGTGTGGTGTGTGTGTGGTGTGTGGTGTGTGGTGTGTGGTGTGTGGTGTGTGGTGTGTGGTGTGTGTGTGGTGGTGGTGTGTGGTGTGTGTGTGGTGTGTGGTGTTGTGGTGTGTGGGTGTGGTGTGTGGTGTGGTGTGTGGTGTGTGGTGTGTGGTGTGTGGTGTGTGGTGTGTGTGGTGTGTGTGTGTGTGGTGTGTGGTGTGTGGTGTGTGGTGTGTGTGTGTGTGGTGTGCGGTGTGTGGTGTGTGGTGTGTGGTGGTGGTGGTGGTGGTGGTGGTGGTGGTGGTGGTGGTGGTGGTGGTGGTGGTGGTGGCGGTGGTGGTGGTGGTGGTGGTGGTGGGGGGGTGGCGATGATAACGGTGATGCGGATGAGGAGGAGGAGGAAGAGGAAGAGGAAGAGGAAGAGGAAGAGACAGGCGGACAGACCAGGTCAGGCCATATATACACACCAAAACGCGCGTCCAGTTTGCGGTGAGTTTCCATTCAGTTTCCAGTCAGTTTCCAGTTCCAGTCAGTTGCCAGTCAGTTGCCAGTCAGTTTCCAGTCAGTTGCCAGTCCGTTTCCAGTCAGTTTCCAGTTCCAGTCAGTTTCCAGTCCGTTTCCAGTCAGCCCCCCCCCCCCCGCGCCCAGACGATGGCTGCAGCTGCTTCGCAGGCTCGCGACCGGCCTGAGGATCGCCCGCCGCCGCAGGGATGAGAGGAGGATGGCGACGAGAAGGATGAGGGGGATGAGGAGGAGGCGGAAGACGAGGAGGAGTAGGAGGAGGCGGAGGAGGAGGAGGAGGAGGAGGAGGGGGAGTAGGATGAGGAGGAGGAGGATGAGGGGACGGGGATGAGGACGAGGCGGGCGAGGCGATGCGGAGGAGGCGGAGGGGGGGGGGGGGGGGGAGGAGGAGGAGGGGGAGGGGCGAGGGGGGGGATGAGGAGGAGGAGGGAGGGGAGGATGAGGATGAGGTGGAGTAACGATCGTTAGCAGGGCCACCGTCTCCCCATCCTCATCGTGCGGTTCCCCCCTATCCTCCTCATCATCCTCCTGGTTATCCTCGTCCTCCTCCTCCTCCTGCCCCTCCTCCTCCTCCTCCTCATGCCGACGATGATGGATGTGGGCGTGGCTGAGAGGACGATGATGATGGTGGTGGTGACGGTAACTATGCTGACGGGCGGCGGTGCCGATCACGATTGCGATGGCCATCCGAGGGTGCGATCGACGACGAAGCGGGAGGGGTAAATGGGGGCCATAGCGAACGAGGTAGGAATGGTAAGAAGATAGAGGGGGCAAGATGGAGTTGTTTCAGGTGCGGTTCTCGACCGTTTTGCGATGCCCATCGCCGTTTTTGTGCGCAAGCGCTCGCGGCGCCCAGGCCCGAGCGCCAGCATGGCGCCACGGCGCAAGCCATCGGCATCGAGGGTGCAGCGTCTCATTGACGCCATGGGCAGCGTGATCACCAAGCCGAAATTTTTGGCGCACGGCACCGAGGAGAGGAAGCCGCCGCTGCGGCGGCCAGAGATCGAGCGACAGGCCAAGCTGATCAAGAAGATCGCAATGGTGGTGCCGAGCCTGACGATTGCCAAGACGGATCTCATCGCGGTCCTCGGCATGTTGCAGAATGGGCGACCATTCGACCTGACGGGCCAGGAACGCGAGGAGTGGCAGGAGGAGATGGCGCTGAGGCTGCGCACCATCCTTCGCCCCGTGCAGCATATGCGCATCAAGAAGGATAAGGCCCCTCAGTGGTTTCGAGACTTAGGCATCCCGCCGCTGGCAGCTGGCGGCGCTGACGGTGACGACGGAGACGAGCCCGGCGGCGGTGATGCCGCTGCAGACGACGAGGAGGACTGCCCGCCCGACGACGAGGGCAACGACGAGGAGGGTGGCAAGGAGGAGCCACGCGAGGTCGACGAAAAAGTGGATGCCGACGACGAGGCCGCCAAGTCCGCGCAGAACACGCCCGTGGCGGTTGACTACAGTTGCGGTTGCGACAACGTGCACACGCTCGCGTGGTGCTTGCCAGCGGGCAGGACAGGCGCAGCACACCGCGAGTACGCCGTCGAGATGGTGCCGCCGCCGAAGCACACGTCCTCGTCCATGATGCTTGCGGTGTTCGCAGACGGCGCCAAGCGGCATGCCCCCGAGGCGACGGTCAGGGCCTTCTGCGCAGAGAGAGCATGCGCGACACCAAGACTGGCCCCAAGCATGGTCATGACACGTTCAGCGGCACTGACCAGAACGGCATGAAGGTGACCGTGGGCTTCAGGTGGGACACGCCGAAAGGCAGACCGCGGCAGCGGTTTTGCACGATCAAGGTCGACGGCGAGACTCAATTCATGCAGATCAACGTGGAGAACTTCGCGTCCGCCGACTCGCCGCTCAATGAGAAGGAGGCCGCAGCCGTGAGCTGGATGAACATCATCGCGCAGAAATACTGCAACGGCGAGATCACCAAGCAGGAGGCCGTGAAGCTCAAAGCAGATTACATCGGCACCCGCACCGCAGAGGCGCTGTGCAAGAAGAGGCCCGCCGCCGCCGCTGCCGACAACATCCCAGTTCTCAAGAAGCCAGCTGCTGCGTCTGCTGTTGGTTCGACAGCGGTCGTCGCGGCAGAGCCGACCGACGCCGCGCCGTCTGGGAGCGCGCCGCCGGCGTCCGCGGCTCCAGCGCCCATGGTCCAGCAAGCGGATGCAGCGCCCGCGCCCCAGCAGGACACGACGGTCTGGAGCGAGTCGGAGTGATTGAGCCAGCTTGTCGATTGAGGGATGGGTGGGGGGGGGGGGGGGCTGCAAGTTGAAAACGGGGGTGGAACAGGGATATGTATATGGAAATAGATACGGCAGTGGGGGGGGGGGGGGGTAGAATGAGAGGGCGATGGGGGGGGGGGGGGGGGGCGCGCAGAGAAATCGAGAGAGAGAGAGAGGGATATATTGGGCGGGCGATGCGTTGTATACTAGGCGGGAAGGGGCGACGTGAATGGGAAGCTAGATTCAATGAGCGGAGCGACGCGCTGGGGAGGAATGAGCTGCTGGCACGGAATTGTCGGTCGTTGCGACGCCTGGCGATGGCGCGATATCGATCGGTCGCGACCGAAGGTCGCGGTCGAGCCAGCCTGGCGACCCGTCACCCTCTCAGTTCTCGCAGTTTTGTCTCAGATATGCCACCCTATCGCGCCCCCTAGCCCGAGCTCCTCTCACCTGTGCTTCGGTGTCGCGCAGGATCGGCACAGCCAGGCGTGCGCTTGAAACACCAGCCCAGTGCGGTCCGCCCGTCGCATTCTCTCTCTCTCTCTCTCTCTCTCTCTCTCTCTCTCTCTCTCTCTCTCTCTCTCCCTCTCTCTCGCGCTCCCTCTCTCTCGCTCACCCCCTTCATCGAGCACGCCCCATCTTCCTCCCGCCCGCTCGCCATGCTCACGATGCATCGTTGCCCGTGTCTTGCCAGGGTTCTCGACGCCACAATCCTCGCATGTGCTCCGCACGCCTGGCCCTGCCTAATACCCCGCCCTCCCCATCCAGCGCCTGCTCCTCATCATCTTCCCCCCTCCCACCGCCTGCTGCTGTCCAGCCTCCTCCTCCTCCTCCTCCGCCTCCTCCTCCCACTCCCCCCCCCCAATCGTGGCCTTGCTTGGGTTTCGCGCCGCGCAGGGCGGCGCCATCGTTGAGTGGGTGGAGACGCAGAGGCGGCGGCTGAACCAGTGCCCGTCCGTTGCGCCCGAGGACCGCGCTGCCGGCGCTGCATGGCGTTTGCGCGGACGGACGCAAGATGTTGAATCGGTTTGGTGTTGGGAGATAGCGTTCAATAGTTCTGGCGATATGTTTAGGAGTTCCTCGGCGTGGGTCGGCAGGGGCCCCAGTGACGTCAGGAGTGCGTGCGCGTGTACTTGCATGTTGGTCTACATCCATTCTCGAGAGGGACCTGGCACCAGCGAGAGCACCTTCGAGAGCACGGCCCTGAAAGCGTTCCTGGAGAGGTTCCCGAGCTCGGCCCCTGAGGAAGTAGATGAGACACCGCTCGATGACACTCGGAAATCGAGGCGAAAATCAAGGACGACGCGTTGGAGGCGTGTGCGGCAGAGGGGTTCCATGTGGCCGCCGAGGGGTCATCGGCAAGCGCTTCATGGGAGAGATGGCTGCGAACCCAGAGAAGAAGAACAGCTACGACAAGATGGGCAGGAAGGCGAAGCAGCAGGAGCGCGAGAACTGGGCCAAGCAGTCCTTCGCCAAGTACCAGGAGCAAACGTTACCACCATCGCTCATCCCCCCTGCTCTTGGGCCAAGAGCAGAGGGGATGATGGCGATAGATGGTGACGCTCGTATAGGAGAAGAAGTCTAATATCACAGAGAGGTCGGAGCGGGAGACCATCCACGGCGAGTGGATGAACAACGAGCAGATCGTCGTTGCGCAAGGGGGGTGGGGTTCACCCGCAGTGCAGAGAGGTGCTATGAACATTTGCCTCGGCGCCATCGGCGAAGGTGGCAGATGGATCAGGATTAATCACCGTTCAAAGCGTCTGGAGTTCAGGTACGTGCGCGAGACCGACGACGTCGCCAATGGCACCACGCGGCAATCGATGAGGGTAGAGTTCAACGACGAGCAGTGCATGCCGCAAGCCAGTGGATCTGCAGCTGCACCAGCTCCGACGCCAGCCTCGCCAGCTCCGACGCCCATCTCGCCAGCTCCGACGCCAGCCCAGACGGAACCTCCGACGCCAGCTCAGACGCCACATCCGACGCCATCACCGCGCGCACCACCGCCACTTGCGACGCCACCGACGCCAGTAGTGCCGACTGCGAAGCCGAAGGCGAAGGGAAAGGCCAAATATAAGTCCAGGAAAGTAACGACCCAGACTCCCATTGCCGCGAAGGGCCTGAAGAAGCGCGCCAGCGATTGCATGGCGACTGGCCTTGCGCAGATCTCCCAGGCGAAGAACTTGCTGGAGCGCATGCGGACAGATGCGATGGCTTCGTCGAGTACCCCGCAGCTCGACGAGAGGCTTGAGGCGATCATCTCGAAGACCGAGGCCGACCTTCAGGGCGATGAAATGTTCAAGGCGATGACGGAGGGCAAATCCCTGGTCATCCCGACCGAGCCGAAAGACATGAAGAGGGCGTTGTCGCGGTGCGCAGACCACGAGGGCAACTTGGAGAAGCTCGGCAGGGCCGTCAAGCGCATCCACGACTTCGAGGAGTTCAACGCGCAGCAGCTCTCGAGCCAGGAGTGATCCTGCATGTGCGGTCTTAGTTGTGGCGGCAGTGCGAACGCCACTCATTAATATGATGGGGAGGGTGGAGATTAGTTCTGGACAGGCATGCTCAGGATGTGGAGGGGATTTTGGATACTCTTGCGAGGTCTGTGCTGTGCTTTGTCGTATGGGTTGTGGTGTATTATCGGTCCTCTGCTGGCTTTGTCCCATCAGATTGGGTGAGATCGATAATGTGTGCCACTGCCCCCTGGGCCGCTCGCAATCAAGCTCCATAGTAGGTATGTGGCACGTTTAACACTACATCAGCCCGGCCAGAGGCTGGTGATTGTCGTTGGGGTGCCTCGTGCGCTGCTGATTGAAGAGTCTGAGGAAGCCTCGCTCCCAGGAGTTGGTCCGAGAGGCTCGTCGCTCAGAACGTGTGGGGATCGTCTCTTCCAGGATGGCGTCCATCTCACACTTGGCGATTCGGTGCCACGATATCTGAGGTTTGCCGTCTGGCATACTGAATTTCTGGCGTGGTGTAACGGTTTCATGCGCCAAGTGCCTGTCCAGTTTGTGTCCAGCTTGCGGCAAGTTCCCAGTCAGTTTCCAGTCAGTTTCCAGTCAGTTTCCAGAAATGGCGAATGTATCGAGAAATAGCCGGTAAGTTTCCGGGTTGTTTCCGGTAAATTTCCGGTAAATTTCCAGTCAGTTTGGCCTGGTTTCGGCACTCTCGAGTTGTCGTTTTTTTTGTGTGTGGACGTGTGCTGCGATGGTTTCTCTCCTGCTTCCGCGCTCGGAGATAGCGCAAGCGCATTGCAAACGAAAATCCTGAAACCTCCTGGGGTCTCCTCCTCCCTGCCACGTTCTCACACCTCCCCGCCCCAGACGTCACTATCCCTGGATAGATGGAGGGGGGGGCTGAGGGAGTAGGAGGAACTGAGGATGGATGGAGCAGAATGTCACTGCGGAAGTTTGCGTGACGGGCTAGAGGGATGGGGGAGCAGGGAGAGAAGTGGGAGGAAGGACGGGGCACAGGAAAATTGAGGTGAAATGCGACGAACATGATCGAGAGGAACAGGGGATGGAGGGAGGGACGGGTCGCAAAGATGACGAGATGAGGGCATTGGCCAGGTGGGGGGGTTCGGCGACGAGACTGAGGGAAGGATGGGCGGAACTTTCAAGCTGGAGTGCTCTCTCGCCCCGTGCTCTCTCGCCCCGTGCTGCCACATCTCCGCCTGCGCCGCGCCCACAGGCGCGCCCTCGCGCCCTCGCGCCGCCCCGTGCGTTGCAGCTCCTCTCGGTTTGATAATGTCGTGGTCGAGTCCGCCCCCCCCGTCAATGGGGAGATCATGCCATGAGGGGTTGCTGCACTGAGGATGGATTGTCAACTCCCTGGCCCCAACCCCACCGAACGCCTGCCCCTTCAACCCACCATCGCGCAACATATGACCACAAGGTGGTTGATATGCACGCGTCGATGGGTCTCATTGTTATCGACACCGTGTCAAAACACGAACACAATCTCATACCAGCACCGTCACGAAATAACATACATAGTAACTCACCACATCGTCACCCACATTCGTCATTGGCATGGTCATGACAGGGTCAACAACCACCACCATCATCATCATCATCATGATCATCATCATCAGCAGCAACATTATCATGATCATCATCATCATCACAGTTTCTTATAGCCTGCCGTTTTGGCACAATGTTTTTGTGAATCCACTGTCCACATGACACGACGCCGACAGAGTCGTGGGATCCATCCCAGCGACCTTCCAAGAGATTCAGCTGGGAAGAGTCAGAATGGCGACGTCAAGACGACGCCGCAGCTCGCGTTCGCGAGGAGCGAGGTGCCAAACTCGCTGACCACCTACTGCTACAGCATGCTATGGGCACGATGACGGCAAAGAGCTTGTGTATCACTTGCTGGCTGGCCGTGCAGTCTGGTTCGTCTGGGGCCGATCTGAAGAGGTTTGCGTTTCCACCAGGAAAGCCGACGGGGACGTACAATCGACACCTCAAGACTGTGTTACCGCAGTCGCCTGCGGCTCCTGAGATGTGCATGCTAAAGCTTCCAATGCATATCAGAAACGTTCGCGACACCAAACTTGTGCCCTTCGCCCCCCCACACGAGTTGCTGGAAGCTGAGCGTACTTCATTGCTTGCAACACGTGGCGACATACCTCCGCCACCCGTTGCAGAGTGGACGGGGAACTACAGGCACCATCCGCACCGCCATCGCGCAGATGGCGACCGAACATGTTACCCTCTTGCCACATGCGTTGACGCCGTCAAATTTACACGGGCCATTGGCCCGAGCCGTTCCGACAGTCTGACGCTGTTCACCATCTACAACTTACAGACGAACCAGAGGCACTACATTGGTTGTGTGTCTAAGCGGGAGATGTGCAGATGTGGTTGCAGGGGGTGTTGCACGATATGGCCCATACTTTCCTTCATCAAGTGGAGCCTGTCCGCGGCCGCGGACGGCCGCAGACCGCTGACCACGTGGACAGGCGAACCGTTCGCCGATGACTCATAACTAAAAGCGTTGGCCCACGAATCGCCATTGTTGAATGCCAGATGCATCCTTGCACAGATCAAGGGCGACTGGAGCGAATATTGCTCGACATTTGGTGTTGCACCCTGGAATGCAACGCGCAGGCCGTGCATCATCTGTGCTGCGACGCAGTCGAGGAGCGGGGTGTCCAGCATGCTTGCACATCAGTTGCTGTGGCTTGTGTAATGTTTTTAAGAGGGGGGGGGGGGGGGGGGGGGGGGGGGGGGGGGCAGACCTCGCCGCCACGCCCGTGCAGGGGGGGCCGCCATCGCAACAAAGCCCTGCCACAGCTCCGATGTGCCGCGCATGTCCGACACCAGGCTGTACGAGCTTCCCGGCATTACTCTGGATGGGCACGGCTGGGACGAGCCCCCGTTGACATACAGCGATGAGTGTGCCTCGTGCGAGATTGCGGTCGATGTATCGGACGACTCTGTAAGAACTTTGATTATGGAAACTGGTGGCCTGCATTTTGACGGGCGGAAGAACGCCGTCGGCAGAATTCTCGCGCATCAAATTCCGACCCTGCGGCTTCAAAAAGGGGGCCGCCTTGATCCGTGCATGGGCTTTTTCGACGTAGGTAAATTTGAAACTGTCGAGCTGCCTATTCAAGTGAAGTTCTGGCGCGGACGGGTCGACGACAGAGGCAGACAGTTTTGCTTTGCACTGCGGCGCAACCCAATTTTTTGCGACGAGCTTGGGGTTGTGCCAGATACCGCACTGCACGTCTACACCCTTCGCACATTGTATTTGGGAGTGATGCATCGGTATGTCCCAGCGGTTATTATCTGGTCGACAATAAACGACAACGTGTGGAACATCACTGGAGGACAAGATGTAATCAAGGGCGAATGCTGAGCCCGCATATTCAGTGACTACATTGCCTGGTGCAGGGAGAACAACGTCGACTTAAGCTACCAACTGGGTCAGCTAACCCCAAAGATGATCGGGGCCCGCGATGCACCATAACTACAAACTAAAGCCGCCGAGACAGGGGTGTTAACGACGTGGGCCGTGGACTTCTGTCGTGCCAACAAGCACAAGATAGAGGGCGACACGCTAGAGACGCTAGAGGGTGCTGGTCAAGCGCTGATGGACTATATGGGCTTGATTCGTAGCGCTCAGCGTGCAGTGTCACGCGAAGGCTGACAACGGTTGCTGGATTGTTGCATCCGCCACTTGACGTTGATGTCGGTGGCTGCGCCTGAATTTAAACCAAAAGACCACCTGTTCGTGCATTTAACGTTGCGGATTCCCCGATACGGGAACCCCAGGTACTACTCAACGTTTCACGACGAATCGTTAAATTTGTGCGCGGCGAGGATCGCCAACGTATGCCATCGGCAAGTCTGGGAGGAGTAGATTTTTAATCGCCTCCGACTTCTACCGATTGTAGAGAAGAGTAGCGCGTGGGCAGTTTTGTAGGCATCCTCGCCGCACTCATCATTCGGAGGCGGGGGATATGACGATGGCGATGAGGAGTAGGCGGACGATGAGGAGGGGGGCGGGGATGACGAGGAGGAGGAGAATGAGGAGGAGGAGGGGACGCAGGGGAGGGGCGCTGAGGAGGAGGAGAGGGAGGAGGGAGGAGGAGGGGGGGAGGAGGAAGAACAATGAGGACAGGGGGATACTGAGAGCCTGCCTGTGCAAATATTGTTGCCGTGCGTTGCTCGCGCCATCCGAGTCTCTACGTGCTGATCCTCTTGCAGTGTCCGCAGCCCTTTCGGGCGCGAGGGCATCTTTGCGTTGACCTTTGCAGATCGACACCACTATGGCCAGCAAACGCAAGGCCGACGCCCTCTCGTCTGCGGCAAGCGCGACGCGAGTCGCCCGAGCCGATTGATGCCGAGTGGCAGGACCCACGCATCACATACATATACAGACATGCACACACACACCATACGCATGCCCACGGCGCTCGCACAGCCCCCGTTGAGGCCCAGTGCGTTGCACTATCTTAGGGCAATGCTTGCGCCACCTTCCCCGCCGACCCCCGACCCCCATCTTTGGGGGCAGTTCTCGACAGGACTTTGCCGGAGACATCCTCGGCAATGCCCTCGACGCCCTGCGGCTCGAACCGTTCGTCATGATATCGGCGTTCTGCGGGCTGGAGACGCCGCTCCTCGCTCTTCGGGAGGTGGTAGTTTTGGAACGACCAGGGGGTATAGCAACGACGCGCACATGCCTTCCCCCTTTCATCTCTCCTCCCACCCCCTTATCATACCTCCTCTCTCGTCTCCCCTCGCCCCCCCTCCTCTCGCGCCGCCCCCCCGCGTGCCCTCGCGCCATGCCCCGTCACCCCCGACATTAATCCATGTGAAACACGTGCAATTCACCACTCATCACACGGTTTTTGTGTTGCTGGTGCCAAACAGCTACGCACGAAAAACAAGCTTGGGGTGTCCGATAGGCTGGCGTCTCATCCGTGAGTCACGCGCGGGGGATCGACGAGTCGCTCCGTCAG